TCGTCTGCCTGGACCCTGACCTTCTTCAGATTTGTGTCGTAGGCGAAGGGTGTTATGACTGGAATAACGCCGTCGTCGATGGGCGGAAGTAGCAGGTAATTGTGCTGTACCTCTACACCTCCCCGTACCTGGACGGTACTGGGTATGTCGTTGGCCAGTGGGGAGTAGCCCAAAGCATCTTCGACCAACAGAGCTCCTGGCTCGTTGTAGTCTTCCAACGCTGCAACCAAGCGCAATGCCTGCTCCCTGACCATGTTTCCGTATTCCAATGTCAACTCTGTGGTGTGCGCATCGGCATCGTGATCGCAGTCGAGCACTACAGCAGTGCTGAGCCCCAGCTGCGCCATCTGACTCAGAGTCAATGCGATGTCGCCCAAGGTGCGGTCGTCGAGGGTCTGAGGCTGCCGAAGCTTGACAAGTGCCATGTGCACCGGCTCATCCTTCTCTTCGGCCTGGTACTCCTCCTCGGGAAGCGGTTCGCGGGTGAAGACGGTGGGCTTGTAGAGATCGCCCAGGTTCACACCGGTTCGCAGCGAACCCGAGTCATTGTGTATATTCTCGCTCACCACCTCCCTGGCTTTGGCTGCGATAGCCGCCTTGCCCTTCTTGGGCGCATCGAACTGCTTGAGGAAGTTGCGCGCGTCGCGTTTACCGGGCGATTCCTTCAGTAGACGCGTCAACTGCTGACGTTCGGCGCGCTGACGCTCTTTCGCGGAGCTCGACGATGTTCGGACGTAGGTAGTCGACGTGGAGAGAGGCGCGCATTGAATCTTGGTAAAGATGTTACCCTTGTCATCGCGCTTGGGAAGCTGCTAACGGTCAATACTGCTGCATTTACGCCTGGAGACGTCGCGCTCACCTTCTTCGTAGCCTTCTCCAAGCCCCTCGCGGGGGCTTTGCTCCAGATGAACATGCTTCATGCTACCGCTCAGCTGCCGAACATGCGAGAAGGTCAAAATTGTGTGACTGGAGCTCGGAGCAGAGGTATGACTCTGCAAATGTGTGGGGAAATGTGCCCGCATCCGCATTTTCGAGAACTCAACATCGATAACGGGGTGCGAACGTCATTTGCTGGTAACCGACATCGGCCCGGTGTGGCCTTATCCCCGGGCTACTGGCGGATGACGATGATGAACACCATGACGAAGCGCTGACAAACGGTACGCAAGGTACAAGCAGAGGTTCGTATAAGTTGTCGCACTTGGCATTGCCTCTTCGTTGTAAGAGAAAGGACACAGTCAGATCCCAGAAGAAATCATGGCGCCACAACTCGCTTGGATAGGCCTCGGCAACATGGGCAGGGTCAGTAAGGGAGGTCATCAGCTCGACCATGTCACTAACTGTCACAGGGCATGTGCAAAGTATGAAGCATCTAAGATTCTAAATTGATTTTCGTACTGACTCTACAGAACTTGGTGGAAAAGGGTAACCTCGATAAGCCCCTAATTCTGTTCAACCGCACCAAAGCCCGCTCCGAAGACCTCGCATCCAAACTCGGCAGCTCCAAGACCAAGGTTGTCGATACCATCAACGATGCTGTCAAACCTTCCGACATTGTCTTCATGTGCCTGGGCGACGATGCAGCCGTGAACGCTGCTGTCGACAAGATGCTCGAAGAAGATGTCAAGGGCAAACTTATTGTAGATTGCTCCACGGTACACCCAGAAACGACGAATGCTTTGGAGAAAAAGATAACCGAGAAGGGGGGTGAGTTCGTGGGCATGCCAGGTAAGTTACGCATGTGAAGATAGAAGTGCTCCCTCAGGACGGGCCTGACAACATCCCAGTATTCGGTGCCCCAGCCATGGCAGACAATGGCCAGCTTGTTTGTGTGACAGCAGGCTCAAAAGCGTCCTGCGATAAGGTAGTCCCGTATACGACAGGCGTGATGGGTCGTACGAACATCGATTACTCAGGCCAGCCAGCAGGAAACGCTACCCTCATGAAAGTCATCGGCAACACCTTCATTTTGAACATGGTCTCGCAGCTATCTGAAGGCCACGTCCTTGCCGAAAAGTCTGGTCTAGGGGTAGACAACCTCCACACATTCATCTCTACCATGTTTCCCGGTCCCTACACCGCGTACTCGCAGCGCATGCTAGCCGGCGACTACTATCAGCGCGAGGAACCTCTTTTCCATATCGACTTGGCACGAAAGGACGCAAGACATGCGATGTCGTTGGCCGAGAGTAGTGGTGCGAAGGAAAGTATGAAGATGCTAGGCTTAGCACAAGGGAGACTGGATAAGGTGAAGAGTGAAATCGGGGACAGAGGAGATATTCCGAGTGTTTACGGAGTTGTGAGGAAAGAGAGCGGCTTGGATTTCAAGAACAAAGATTAGATGGGCAAATCTTCCATTGCAGTTCTGGAATAATCTGTGGTTGTCCGATGTTAGGGTGCTCCTGGACGCCGTGTATGGTGATATTTGCCCGAGCGGTACTGACTACGCTAATTGCGACTGCCGTTATTACAAGCATGGCTATCGCAACTTCTGCTCGACTTACTTTCCACAGAAAGCCCGATGCACACGCAATGTACCGCGGCTCTTCAACGCGGTTCAGACATGACGCGACGTGTGCTGATCACTACCCGATTTAACCACCATCGATGCAGACATTCGGTCTAACTCTGCCGAGGATGCATCATCTGTCAGAACATCCTCCCAACGTCACATCACGCTAGACTCCTCAGCGTTAAAATCCCCAGGTTTTACCCCAGCTTCTCCCCTCCCCACTGCTTGATGAGGTCAAGCCTCATCTTGGCTGCAACGGCGGGTTCGTAGAATCACCCTCTGAGATCGAGTCTGTTCTTGCGAAACCTGGTTGCCGTGCACATGGACCGACATTTCTGCCGCCAGCTCACGTGGGTGACAGCAGGTACTTGAGGGCCTGAAGACCCTGCCGATTTACCTCATCGCAACTGCCTACTGTTGACTCCACTCAACTCAACCTCAATGCTCGAATCTTTCGTCCAGTCCACGACCTGATCGGCATTATCCACAGACCAATCGCTAATCGGCATCTCTATCGTATCACAAAGCGAACATGGGGTTCCTTAAGAGACCCACACTGCGCAGTCGCGACGACCAGAGGACGCGTGCTGCTGAACTGACGCTGCGCGAGTCTATCTACCCGCTCTGCCTCGTCACCATTCTATTCTTTCTCTGGGTGAGCCACGACGATGCCTTAAACCCAGTGTATGTGGCTGATGATCATAGGGATTCTCGTACGGTCTTATCGATACCCTCAACAAGCATTTTCAAGACGTCCTTGGCATAACGCGCGCTCGCTCTTCAGGCTTACAGGCAGCATACTTCGGCGCGTACCCACTTGCTTCCCTCGGTCATGCCAACTGGCTTCTGCGCCACTGGGGCTACAAAGCAACCTTCATCTGGGGTCTGACACTTTACGGCGTGGGCTCTCTTCTTGCCTGGCCATGTCTTGTATATCGTTCGTTCGGAGGCTTTTGTGTAGCCATCTTCGTCATCGGTAATGGACTAGGCTCGCTTGAGACAGCAGCCAACCCTTACCTGGCTGGTATGTATGAGTCGATTAAATGATGGATGCAGTACTAACGAAAGTAGTTTGCGGACCACCCAAGTATTCAGAGATCAGGATCAACATCGCGCAGGCTTTCAACGGCATCGGCACTGTGGTAGCGCCAGTTTTAGGGTCATATGTCTTCTTCAACAACGTTGGCACCGATCAAGCATCCCTTGAGAACGTGCAATGGACTTACCTCGGCATCGCATGCTTCGTTTTTCTCCTTGCGATCGTTTATTACTTCACGGAGATACCTGAGATCACTGGTAAGCTTGCTCCTTAATGGGAAATGACCAGGTGCTAACATCCACTAGATGCCGATATGGCTTTCCAGGCTGAGAGCACTCACGCTGGTACCGACGTAAAGCCTTTCCACAAACAATACCGTCTCTTCCATGCGACATTTGCTCAGTTCTGCTACACTGGCGCGCAGGTGGCGATAGCTGGAGCCTTCATCAACTATGTCGTCGAGACACGGGTCATAAATGGACGCGAGACCGACAACTCGACAGCAGCTCGGTTCCTGGCTGGTGCGCAGGGCTGTTTTACCATGGGTCGCTTCATTGGCAGCGCCTTCATGAAGTTCGTCAAACCACGATGGGTGTTCCTCGCGTTCATGACGTTATGTATCATCTTCATCATCCCGTCCATTACCGAGCGAGGCAATACCGGCATGAGCATGCTTTACATTGTACTCTTCTTTGAGAGTATTATCTTCCCGACGATTGTTGCGCTTGGTATGCGCGGATTGGGCAAATACTCAAAGAGAGGCTCGGGCTTCATCGTGGCCGGTGTATCTGGTGGTGCTGTTGTCCCTCCACTACTATTCGGAGCGAGCGATACGCTAGGCAAGGCTAGGCCTTTGGAAGGATATGCGCCCACCGCCGTCGCCATGACCGTTCCAATGGCGTTCTTCATTGCGGCGTGGAGCTATGCTTTCTGTGTCAACTTTGTGCCAGCCTACCGTAATGTGGCAGATAAATTCTCTACTGCTGAAATCGGTATCGAGAATGCGCATGCAAATGATCCTGAGCGCCAAATGCAGCATACGGATGGTGGTGTACTTGCTAAGGAGGAGTCGCCAACTCATACTGAGGCGGTGGATATTGACAGAAAGACATAGGATGACTCTCTTGTCGAAGTGGACGAAGAGGAGGAAGCGGAAGTGGCTGCAAGTGGGACTAACGTTGATGGAGTACACGCTACGGTTGCCGAGGATGCTCAAGTAGTTCAGGGGTCCTGAAGTCATCGTACTGCGACTTGCATGACAAGAAGGAGTGGTTCACTACATCGTTGTTTCATAAGTTACCGTGAACGCCGTATAGCTAGCAGTCGAAAGTCGTGTGTACTAGTGCATTGCTTGCACTGATGTTATCTACCAGCCACAGTACCAGATATCAGGTAGTGTGAAATGCTGTAAGTGCCCTGTACTCACTGATGTAGCTTTACATCATTGTCCTATTCTCCGTCCCCCATTTCTTGATCCTCGTCTTCACGCGACTTGTCCTCATCTGAGTCGTCAACTAAGATAGAGTCCTCCACCGTTTGACCTTTTATTATCATTTCTAGGTCCCACTTCTGTTTGCCCCGATACTTCCTCAAAAGAGCCGTTGTCAAATCCTTGAAGAATTCTGCGGGATACTCGTCTGTCTCATCGTCTTCAATCCAAGCAGCATCCGCTGTATCTGCCCATAGTAGTACCAAGACCAGCCTCAGTGGTGATCCTTTGGCTGTCTTATCGTAAGCGAGGCGGATGCTGTCCGGACCCGGATATTCATCAATGTCTTTACTAACTTCGACCAATCCCTGTATAACGTCTCGACAGAACTTCTTGCTCTTTAGTTTGAGACCTAAAACGTATGCCTTAACAAGTTCATGTGTGTCAAGAGAGAATCTGCCATCTTCATCCGCCCGGTCTTCAACCGCGATATGATCATAGTAAAGCCACTCAAGAAATATTGCGAAGGCATCAGCGTCGATGGCGGAAAACTTATGTACTGTGATGACGTCGGTGTCATTCGACCAGCTGTGACGACAGAAAGGACAGTTGACTGGTTGACGAGCTGTCTGCTTCTCCGCCTTCCACTTCTCAATGCATCTATGATGAAAGTTGTTACCACAATGAGTAGCGCAGTAAGTAAGCTCTTGTATACCGTGCTCGAGCGGTTCCGTGCAGATCGCGCATTCACTGTCTTTCTTGAGAGGCTTGCGCTTCGGTTGTAGCTTTTTCGTGAAGAATGTGGATCTGCTGCATATGATGTCTTCGGGGACAGTGAACTCCTCGCCGCGTGAAACTTGGACGCGGACGATTTTGTGGCCGAACCTAGGAGCGGGTTAGCGGTTGGTGTTACAATCCTCACAGAAAACGTACCGGATAGCTCGCTTCTTCCTAACGCTGATGCGCTTCTCCTGCTTGGGCATCTTTCCTGGTCTTGATATCTTCCGCTACTTGAATGGCGCGGTGGCTGAATAAGATCGTTTTTGAGCGGTTCTCTAGTCGGGGTATGAGCATTGGATGACAAGCCGATTAGGCAGTACCTACGGGTGAGTGATATTCTATCGTTCAGTTGCACTATGTTGCTTCGGTAGTTGCAGACCAGTGCGCAACGCGCAACCAGTAGGAGTGTCTCGGGCCCCGGAAACTTGATGAGCTGAGGCCCGCAGTGTTCTCGAAGTGAATACTGTTGTGATTCACGTTAGTAAAGGTCGACGTAAGGCACAACATCGAATGATGGGTCGGGGTAAAGATGTGATGTACACAGTCGTTCGATTGTCTTCGTTTCGAGCTAATGCAGTTCGATTGGGCGTAAACAAGCATCAAACCTCGTATATCGTGTTTGGGTAGTGTAAGTCCCGAATGCCAGGTGCAAGTCATCAGAATGAGAAACAAGAAGACAGAAGATTCCCAGTGCCGTCACGAACGCTCACCCTTTCGACCTGTATACAACCAGTCCGCCGTCGTCCGAGTCATCGGAAAGAGGCATGGAGCGGACATCTTGCTTCAGCCGACGCTTCGCACTATGTGTATGCTTCTTCACTTCGACCTTTTGACATGGACGCTTCCTGGTTGCTGGTACTTCTGTAGCTTCAGCTTTGGGACTATTCAGACCAATAGCTGGATTCCTGCCTCGCAGACTTCGCGATGCTGCTGACGCCAAACTCGTGCTGCCGCCTACAGGCGCAGTATCTTCGTCATCGCTCGTCAGATCCACTCCTACGCTCAGCTTCTCCATCCACATCTTCCTTGTCGTTCTGCCATCTTTCCTGTCTCCCCACCGGACCATGGCTGCATCTGCTAGCTCACTCACGAAGGCCTCTGGCCAGTTCTTGCCCTCGCTCTTGAACCAACCGGGCTCGATATAGGCAAGCGATATGTCGATGACGAAAGCTCGAATTTCTTCATCGCATTTACGATCCACAAAAGCCCACTTCACGCTCTCCTTCCAGAAACGCGCGCGAGCTTCTGCGAAGTAAGTGGCAATGACTTGCGACTTGAACACTGGATCTTCGACGGCGTTGGCAACAGTCCAGAGTTTGAGGATGACTAGATTGAAGGCATCGGTAACGCGAGAGACCTTTGCGGATATGTGTAAAGTGGAGGTATACAGCCAGTCCAGGTAGATTTGCGTAGCCTCGGCGTCTAGCTCAGACTCTATGTCTAGCTGATTGAGCAGTGACTCGTTCTCCCAGCTAGCACGACACATCGGGCATGTTGGGATCAACTCCTTCTTAGAACTGGTAGTAGATGAGCGCTTCCAGGCTTCCATGCAGACTTCATGGACGTTTTGCCCGCACTTGGCGCAGAAGGAGATGTCTCCTATCATGGCGTCGAGAGCCTCAGCGCAAACACAACATTCGTCAATGCTGAAGACAGGCTTTCGGTTTCTCTGGAGGCACTCTTTGAAGAATCGAGAGGTCTTGCAGATGAGATCTACGGTAAACGCATGGTGTTAGTATGTTGGACTCCTGAAATGGCTTTATGTGTTGTTGTTACCTTCATGTACAGTGAAGCGGCGATCAAGATTGGGGGCCTTGAAGCTTATGATTCTGTTGCCCACACTGCGCCATATCAGCAAGTTACATGTGGTATAAGACGGACGGAGTGAGGTACATAATGGGCCCCAACTTCTTGGTCGCTCCTCGAGATTTAGTGATGGTCATCTGCACAAATGGTGATCTTGTAGAATGAGAATGTTGTAAGCTGAAGGGCACGGAAGACACGACCTAGATAGAAGTACTGCACACACGAGAAGGTGAGAGTCGGGCCGTGCGCACCTCGTCATGGGGCGGTGACAGTATCTCAAGGTGAGAGAACCGCCAAGAAAAGATTCAGTATCTAAGCAAGGCGAGCACAACAGTCGTTTTGAAGGTAGGCAATAAGTTTGCCGAATGAGGCGAACCTTACAATCGTGCCTGGGAAGAACTACACATCTCTTGTGTGTGTGGATCAGCCAAAGGTCGTCGAGAAAGCCCGACCGGATGACAAAACCAGAAATTGCTGTGTTAGACACGATACTCCATGGCGCCGACCGAGAGTATGTAAAGCGTAAAACAAACTCTTCAAATGGGTATTTTGCTCATCACCGTCCCCTGCTGGTGACTTCAGACACGGTATACAGCATGAGCTATGTAGCCTTGTCATAGCCAAGTTCCACACTGTCTTCCGACGCCGTCGATATGCCGCCAGTGCCAAATATTACGAGTTTTCTGCTCGGCGAAAGTCCGTAGACGATCTGCTCCTATACGCCAATGTACCACAGCTCAACGCCCATCACCTCGAATTTCTTACCATCGTCACTCAGGGGCTCGTTGCCAAATGTCGGGCACGTATCGGAGACGCCCTTTTCGAGGTTGTCGTCTAGCCATAGGCCATAGTGACCGTCACTGCGACACCGTCAGTCCACTGAGTCCTTAATGATGACAACACGATGCTACTTACCCGCCGCCAACACTCAGGTAGCTATGCTCGCAGAAGATCATGTAGTCATTCACCCCGCTGTAGGGAAATGCCTTGAATCTTATTCGTTCTGGCGTACTCGCACCACTCTTACTGGCCCGACCGTTCTGTGGGGGTGCTAGCGAATCGCCCTTCCTCTTCGGTGAAGATATAGTTGTCATTCGCACAGCGTCCGTCGTATCTTCGGATGGAGGTGGTGGGAGGTTCATCTGCAGGTCTGAGAAACCGGAGAGTATGTGCGCGCGCCAGAGAAAGCATTCGCCGTTGCCGTAAAATGATGTGGAGGGCCGCGGTGCGTCAGAGAGATATGCGCCGAATATCTATAGCGATACGTAAGCATTCGTCCTGGGGTCGTCATGAGGTTCGCAAACTTACACCTCCGCTGCCGTCTTTGACCACAAGCACAAAGCCACCTCTCTTGCCCAGATAGTCTTCAGATTGCTTGTATAGTGTGCCTAAGCTGACACCGTTCTGCTCCAGACTATATGCCAGACTCCATTCATCCACTAGTTGTAACCTTGGTGGAAGCAGGAGCCGGATCTCTTCAGCAAGCGCCGTGCTCAGAAGCTTGCCCTTTTCTCGCATGTTGCCTCCCCATCCTCTCAGACTTAGCGGTGTCAAGGGAGGCGGTTGGAAAGGGCTCGCTATCCGATGTGGCGGCTGGTAGACCGAGTTCATATCTGAGGTGGTGGAGGAGACGAGGTTCGCAAATGTGTGTGAAAGTGAAGATGCGGTGTACTGCAACTGGGCTTGTATGTTGCTTGCGCTGTTACGGTTGCTGTTGTTCTCCGATCTCGATTGCGCGTCTGATTTGGGAATGGCGTCCGTGTTCAAGCGTCGCAGGATGCCCGAGACTGCATAAGAGACGGGATAGGTGAAATATGAGGACGAGCGGTTGGGTGTAGAGCGCTGCGATGGCGGTGAGGTTTGCGACGAGGGCGAGCGGAACGGGGAAGAGGACGGGGTATCTGGTGGGTACGACATGAGCGGCAACTAATTGCGATGGGAGTAATGTTCCTGAATTAATGTGGGTCGCGTGTTGGAGGTGGTGTGCTGGGGCTGTCGCAGGGCAGAGTAGCTGTGACGTTGCGCAAAATTAGTGGGCTGACAGCTGCTTGGAGCCTCACAACACCACCAGGATGGGACGTGGCTGTTACATAAGCAGGCCTGTGGTTGCGGTGAATGCATATCCGAAGGCTCTGATGAGCGCATACTAATACAGGACATGTCGGCGATGTATGCTCTGTGATTGCCTCACCCTCTGGCACCGCGACGTGTAGCTTGCGGAGCCCTGACCGCTTTAGCTTGCTAGCGTGTCGCGCGAAAGCTTGATCTCCGCTACCCGGTAGGGCTGACCTCGCGTATCCATCGTGCATTCAAGCCAGGATCCCCATTGTCAGTCGAAAACTCGAGGATGATTGTGGTTGAGATAGTAATGCTCGATCCTGGCGGTGGTATCTCTGCGCTGTGATAGTTAACACGTGTCATACCCGCGACCCTCAGTCGCATTTCTCATAGCATGCATCGGCTCGAGAAGGTACCGAGAGTTCCATTCTTGATTGAATGCTACTAGTGTCGGCGTCTCTACACTCTCAAAATGAAGCCCCAGATGGTCTATGTAGTCTCGGCGTCTGCCTCCTTTGTCGCTTCTGCGAGGTCTCGATCCAAATGCTCATCTCCCGCAGCATCTGCGTCTTCTTCCCCGTCGTCTCCATCGCTCTTAAGCTTAGCACCCTTTCTTTCGGGCATGACCGCCATGAACGCCTTGCCCCAATCCCCAAACTCCATCCACTTGAGCATAATCTCCAGCACATGGTTCGTGACCAAGACTTGCCGACTTTTCATCTCGAGGTATTCGCCAATAGGTAGCTTTGCAGTCTTGATCCCACGGTTCACGGCGCGCTTGTGACATATGCCTTTGTGTCGGTTCTTGTCAACCAGTCCGCCGATAATGTATGTACTGTTGGGCTTCAAGTGGGTTAGAACGTTGTCAGACTCAGATGAAAGATAGACGACTTCGCCTTCCTCTGCTGCAGCATCAGGTTGTTCTTGATCGCCTGATCCAGTGGCTTCTGCTGATGTCTTCAAGGCGCCGAGAACTTCTCCCCCGTTTGGCCCTGACATCCACGCCTTCGCTTTTTCGGAAACCTCAACGAAATCTTCTTCGAAGAACTGGAACCCCTTCCAACTCGTGTACTGCTTTGCTAGAATGCCATCGAAACGCTCCTTCATCTTTCCACCGAAGCTGCTCAAAGCTAGATGGGTCCTGAAGTTCGCCTTTCGGTTATCGCTGTAACACCTCGTAATCTGAAGTCCCAAGCTCTTGAGCTCGTTGTCAAACATCAGCTCTTCGAAATCGCAGTCGAAGATTACTGTTATTGGTACTTGTTTTCCAGTTGCCTGCCGAGGAGGTCGCGAAGCTGGCGGCCTTGGTCTCTTGCCATTCTCGTCGGTAGGCATCTGCGCCCACTCTTCTCGCCTTCGCTCTTTCTTCTCTTTGACTTTCTCTTTTCGCTTGAGTTTGCGATCTTCGCGGCCGGCTTCCCAGCGCTCGAGCCGCCTTTGCTTTTTGAGCTGGTTTTTTGATAGCTTTGGCTCCGCATTCTCACTCCCAGCCGGTGTTCCGACAGATTCTACGGCGTCGGCTTGATTGCTGTTTTCCGCTGCGACAGGTAGTTGTTCGTTTGGTGTCGGAATTGTAGGTGCTTCTGCCACATCCTCAATGCTATCCGCATGCTCTAGCTTGCGCAACTTCGCAGGACGCTCTTCGGAATCCATCTTCGAATAAAGTTTCCTCGGTTTGTGAAAATCAAGAGTGCTGCCTTCCACCCACTCAGCGTCGACAAAATTATGCTCACTCACTTGCTAGCGCGCCAAGCCAGATCCCTGTCATCGCGGGTTCCCGAGCTCGAACCTCACTGCACGTCTCCGCATCGACGACAACTTCGAATACCCATTGAGCCACGAATAATCGCCCAACATGCCGCAGGATATGCCGCCAACGGGCGGCTATAGCCCCGTACAATACAAGCGCAACCTGCCCGTACGAGGCTTCCGCCCCGCCGCATACCTTTTCGGAACCGCGGCACTCATGACCTACGGATTCTGGAGAGTTGGACAGGGTATCAGAGAGCACAAGTACGCGCCTGCCGTCGGAGAGGAGACTTCCAAGCCTTGAGATATATGAGCGAAAGTGCTGACAAGTCGCAGCGAACTCGCGCGCGAGAAGATGTGGGCGCGGATACACCTCATCCCCGCGCTGCAAGCCGAAGAAGACCGCGATCAAGTACGAAGGCACCTCGCAGATAAGGCGAGAGAGAAGGAGCTACTCGGCACAGAGACCAGGGTCTACAATAGCGACAGGTATGGTTTGAAGACTTGGCTTTGTAGACAACTTTGGCTAATTCACGATGGCAGATTCGTTCGCCCTACCTTTGCAATCACGCCCGAACACGAGACGAAATAGACTTGCATACCGCACTGGACATGTACATATAAATCCACAAATCGTTGGCAGGCTAAGGAAACGCTGTCTCCAAATGATATCTTTCGTTGTGTTTGAAACTGTGACGCGACGTACATTCCAAGGCTTCAAACGGTGACATATCGTTGCGGGAGGACCGTTGCGCGTGTACATGCCGAGATAAGGTGGGTTTAAAGTGCTGACGAGGGGACACCCTGTGATAGACTTCCAAAAGTGTGGTTCACAATACGTTGTGATTACTTGGGTTCCACTGGACCCGTGAAAGTGACACCCCGCCCATTTTGTCGTGCACTCTCCCGCGCGTCGAAACGCGCCACCTGGACCAGGCAGTGCGCCTTGTCGTCAACTGCGCCCAGCGCCTACAGCCCTTCCATATTTCAACTCTACTAACCCTCCCAACCGTTCGCTGTACCTGTGCATAACCGACCCTCGCCAGCCGGCGCAACCTTTGGCGACGACATAGCGCAATGTCTTTCATCCCCAACTTTTTCGGTAGCCTGAAGAATGCGACGCCTGTCGATACAGGCACCTTGCCACGCGCAGATGACAATGGCACGTC